CAAAAAAAAAAAAAAAAAAAAAGAATTGTTTAGTTAAAAGTAAATAGGTAGACTGGGCATGGTGACACACACCTATAATCTCAGCACTTTGGGAGGCCGAGGTGAGAGGATTGCATGAGCCCATGCTTTGAGACTGGCCTGGGCAACTTGGCAAGACCTCATCTCTACAATAAATCCAAAAATTAGCCATGTGTGGTGGCATGTGCCTGTAGTTCCAGCTACTTGGAAAGCTGAGGCGGAAGGATCACCTGAGCCCAGTGGGTTGAGGCTACTGTGGCCGTGAGCCTGCCACTGCACTGCAGCCTAGGCAACAGAGTGAGACGCCAACTCTAAGTAAATAAATAAATAGGTAAAAAATGAAATTTAGAAAGAACATATGTAACAGGAAAAGTATGAGGCGTAATAACAAATGAATATCTGTGAACCCACCATCTAACTGAGGAGATAGAACATTATGAGTTCCGTGGATGCTGCCTGTGTTTCTTTCCTACTCTTCTGCTTGCCCTACCCTCCTGGCTTGCTTATTTGACTGATTTATTGATGGGGACACTAGAAATTCATTGGTAGATTCTAAAATGCATTAGAAAAATCAGATTTGTGTGTGCTAATTGTTTTAAATCACGTTATTGCCTATTATTTCTCTTGAGTTGAGCTAAGTGTGGTTACTAACAGGTTGTCAGCATGGGCCTCCTGCTCACCTTCCCTACAACTCTGAACAAACACTTAGTGGTAAGATTGTCCTTGTGCCTGTGTATATTCATGAAATAGCTCCTTGTTATATGGTGGATATAACTGGTTAAAAGAGCTGACTGAATAACATGTGACTTAGCTTTGAATATCCCTGAGTGAGAAAAAAGGTCAGTTTAGGGAACTAGTGTCCCTGGTGATTTCTGGAAAGCAGTCTATTAATAGTTTCCCCTTTACTATCATTAGATCATGATTCCCACATGGTTCTTGTGTTGACCTTTTTGTTTTTTGTTTGAAAACGTCTAAGTAATTTACAGATGTGATGAATTTGTCGCCTTTCTTCTGTCAAGTATGTCTTCTTTCCAGCATTTTGCGGGGGGGGGGCTACTCTTTCTTTATTTTTTAATTTGAAGTCCCATCAAACTATCTCATAAATGGCATTTTCTGACTCCCTTTTTTCCTCTTCTTTGTTTTGCTTCGCAGCTCCTGGAATGAGGCCACCCATGGGAGGCCATATGCCAATGATGCCTGGACCCCCAATGATGAGACCTCCCGCCCGTCCCATGATGGTGCCCACTCGGCCTGGAATGACTCGACCAGACAGATAAGGATAGGGGGAGGACTCTTTTATCAGTTTTATAGTACTTGTTCTACTTCACCAGGGGATCATGGTGCTGTGACTGAGTGTTTTCTTGATAGCATGTAAGAAAGACTTGCTCCCCCTTCCTATCAGAGAATAGTTTTGGAGAGGAAAAGGACAAAAAAGTACAGTTTTCATTTGTATTGTGAAATATAAAAATAAAATTGTCAACTCTTTTAGTTAAAAGTGTGTTCCCTTTTTTCTGCCCCTTGTATTCTTCATGTATAACAAATGAATATCTGTGAACCCACCAGCTAGCTGAGGAGATAGAACATTATGAATTCCATTGACACTGCCTGTGTTTCTTCCCTACCCTTCTGCTTGCCCTACCCTCCTGGCTTGTTTATTTGACTGATTTATTGATGGGGACACTAGAAATTCATCAATAGATTCTAAAATGCATTAGAAAAATCAGATTTTTGTGTGCTAATTTAGTTGTGTTTCTAGCTCCTCTCTTCAGCCTGTCCTCTGCTGAGATTCTTTTTCCTTACCTATACAGTGAACCTCTTTGAGCACCCTGCCTTTATTTAGTTAAGTTCTCCTGTGTACGATTTGGCAAATCGAACACCTGTAGAGCTTTTGTTGGTGAAAATAATAAACAGCACAGTTGCTTAATTTTTCTCATGAATCATACTTTGTGTAGTAAGTGGAAAGTTTTAAGTTCTTTATGCTGAAGTAGGGGAAAATAATTCATGCTGTGTGCATGTCAGCTAAGAATGGTATGAATTGCCTTAACCTCAGCTTCTCCTTTCTCTCAGCTCCCTTCTTTCTTGGCTTCAAATAGTCTGAACTTTCTTTAGCAGTGGTAAAATTACACAGATTTCCATGATATAGAAGATGTTTTTAGAATCCTGCTTGTTGGCAACATCTATATCTATCAGGATTATGATACTTATTTGTTTGTTCCCCCAGACAAGGTCTTACTCTGTTGCTCAGGCTAGAGTGCAGTGGCACGATTATAGCTCACTGCAGCCTTAACTTCCCAGACTCAAGTGATTGATCCTCCAGCCTCTGCCTCCTGAGTAGTTGGGACTGCAGCCGTGAGCCACTACATGCAACTAATTTTTTTTTTGTTATTTTTTTTGTAGAGATGGAGTATTGCTGTGTTGCCCAGGCAGGTCTCAAATTCCTGGCCTCAAGCAATCTCCACCTCTGCCTCCCAAAGTGCTAGAATTATAGGCGTGAGCCACCACACCCATGTGCCTATATTTTTTGACCTAGCATTTCCTTGTCTAGGAATTGATCCTGCAGGTAGACTTGGACATGTGTGAAATGATATGTGTATAAGATTAGGCATTGCAGCAAAAGATAGAAAATAACATAGCTGTCCAATGATGGGCTGATTTATCAAGTGTGAGAAATTCGTAGTTGTATATACCATGCATGTTAAACTAGAATAAGGATGTTCTGTGTACTTACAGGAAAAGATCTTTAAGATATACCTTGTTAGCTGGCTCGGTGGCTCAGCCTGTCATCCCGCGCCTTTGGGAGGCTGAGGTGAGTGGATTGCCTGAGCCCGCGGGTTTGAGACCCGCCTGGGCAGCGAGACCTCATCTCTACAATAAATCAAAAATCAGCCGGGCGTGGTAGCGCGTGCCTGTAATTCCGGCTACTCGGAAAGCTGAGGCGGAAGGATCGCCGGAGCCCAGCAGGTCGAGGCTGCGGTGGCCGGGAGCGGCCACTGCACTCCAGTCTGGGTGACAGAGTGAGACTCCAACTCAAAAAAAAAAAAAAAAAAAAAGGTGCTAATTGTTTTGCACCTTAGTTTGTTCACTTAAATGTGGTGTTCGCTGCTATCCTTTCTATGCTTAAAGATTTCTGAGAGGATAGATAGGCAATTGGTAATATTAATTGTTTGTGAAGGGTAAAGTTGGTCAGAGATAAGGGGAGAAAGACTTGTCACCTTTTTTATGTTTTGGATTTTGAGTCATATCTGTTATAACAAAAGCAAAACATCCCTACCAATTGCAGTTATTAGTGTTATAGTGATGCTATGGTAGAGGGCGTCTTAAACTAGCAATTTATAACGTGTCTGATGATCAGACTCACAGGGTACCTTTTTAAAAATAAAGATTCCAGATTTTTATTAAAAAATGTGGCACAGAAAAAGAAAAGATCTAGGGTGGGGCTTAGGAAATTTTCATTTGGAAAAACTAGGAGATTTTTATTATTAACATGTTTAGAAAACTCTTAGGATCTGTTCTATACAAGAACATAGCTGTATGTATGTGTCTATAATTTTAAAGTGACTTATAACTAGAAATTGAAATGCTGATAAGTAGATTGCTTCTCTTCCTGGAAACTTGTGTTTTGAAGAGGGGCTAATTTAGGCAAATAAACCACCTTATCTAAGTAAACAAGGGATTAGAAGTGGAGATCATTAGCCAGGCGTGGTAATAGAGTGAGACTCCAACTCAAAAAAAGAAAAAATAGAGATCCTGACAAAGAAATAATCTTTATGGTCAGCCTCTGTGGAAGCTGAATCAACTTCCTGTTCTGAGCTTTTGACAGGACTACTTGTTGCTTTTTAGTTCCTCAGTCAGTCGCATTTTTTTCAGAAGGACTTGAGTCTCAAAAATTGAGTTTATATATGTGACTTTTATAGCTCAGATCTGTTATAAAATCTGAACAGGAGAGTTTGTTAGGGGAAACCTTACCAACTGAACTTTACCTGTGACTCAGCAAGTTTCTGGTTTGGATGACTCTGTCAGTCTTCACTCTGAAGCTCTGTCTTTGTCCTTAGGGCAAAGAGTGTTTTGTTTTGTTTGGCTGTATATCACTCCTGGACTGGCAATCCTTCCACCTCAGCCCCTTGACTAACTGGGACTATAGGTGTGCACCACTACACCCAGCTAGTTTTTTTATAGAGACAAGGTCTCTTTGTGTTCCCCAGGCTGATTTTGAAGTCCTGGGCTTAAGCAATCCTCCAGCCTCAGCCTCCCAAAGTTCTAGAATTATAGGTGTGAGCCACTGTGCCTAGCCAAGAATGTTGTTTTTATTTAAATTTTTTTCCTCTTTTTCTTAACTTAGATCTCTGGCGAAATGTATCTTTTGTGTATGCAAGAAATGTTTTTTTTTCTTGAGTTGTAGTTTCACTCTGTTTCCCAGGCTGGAGTGCAGTGGCGTGCTCACTGCCGTCGCAGCCTCTACCTGCTGGGCTCAGGTGATCCTTCTGCTTCAGCCTTCCAAGTAGCTAGAACTACAGGTATGCACCACTGCACCCAGCTAATTTTTTGATTTATTATACAGATGAGGTCTTGCCAAGTTGCCCATGCTGGTCTTGAACCCATGGACTCATGCAGTCCTCTTGCCTTGGCCTCCCAAAGTACTGGGATTATAAGTGAGAGCCACTGTGCCTAGCCAAGAAAGTGTTTTACATAGTTTCAAAAAAAAAACCCCAAAACAATATGATGACTTGAAAGTTTAACAGACTTAAACTTCAGTAAACCAAGTAGAAACAAATAGTTCTACGAAAGTCCTTTTTGTTTTTGTCAACTCCTAAGGCAAAATATAATTATAGTGCTATGAATAAGATATTTCCTTTGTAAGAGGCTATGAAGAACACAACAGAACTTATCTACTATTGATTTATGCCTTTAGACATCTGGTTTTAATTCTCAAACATGAGAGAACTGTAATGTGAGAATTGGTTTAGGTGCATACAAGAATACTAGTGAATATTAAGAATTGAAGAAGGTAGCCTCAGTGTGGGATAACATAATTGCTTCCTTTTCTGTGGGCACATCTGAAGCCATTGTGAGTACACTTAAGGTCCGTGGTCTCCTCATTTCTACTGCCAGGGCTTTGTGGTGGTTAGTCAAAATGCTAGTCCCTTTGATTCTAAACTGCATAAGTAATGGAATCCCTGTACAGAGCCATAGACTAATTTGGTCATCCTGGGTCATCCTGTGTGAGAAATGTCCACCGATGATCAAGTGCTTGTCCCAGTTACATAGCTCCAGTCAGATAGTATCTTTTACGTACCTTGATACATTAGATGAACAGAAGAAAAAACCTGACCTAACTTCATTTTCTCTATTTGGCAGAAGTGTCCTGGAGGCTTCCCTGACACAGTGTTTTCATGAAAACCTTAACAAGTGTTAACTAATTTTGACATTTCTTTTCCTTCCCCTGAAAGCATAGGATTTGGAATTTCTGACATGGAATCAAATATAGTATCTAGCTTATTGTCCTTGATCTTTGGTGTTTGAGTGACTTTCAAATTTACAGAAAAGTTACAGGAATTGTACACAGACACTTACATACCCTTTACTCAAATGAGCCCATTGTTAGATGTTAGCATTTCACCCCATTTGCTTTATTTCTCTCTTCCCTCTATGTTGGTAGAGTTGCATTTTTTTTTTCTTTTTCCCCTTGATCATTTGAGAGTGAGTTATTGGCTGGGTGTTGTGGCTTATGCTTATAATCCTAGCACTTTGAGAGGCCAAGATTGGAGGATTGCTTGAGACCAGGAGTTCCTATAGTATTTTTTCCACCTCTCCTGGATAGGCTCCTCTTGAATAACTTACTTACTTTTTGGTCCTCTGTCTTTAGTCTCTTTGAATCTATACCAGTTCCTCAGCTTTTCTTTGTCTTAAATGACACTGGCAGTCCCAACCTCTTTTGTTTTTGTTTTTGTTTGTGTTTTGAGTTGGAGTCTCACTCTTGTCTCCCAGGCTGGAGTGCAGTGGTACACTCACAGCCACTACAGCCTAGACCTGCTGGGCTCAGGCAATTCTTCTACCTCAGCCTTCCAAGTAGCTGGAACTACAGGTGCGTGCTACCATGCCTGGCTTACTTTTTTATTTATTGTAGAGATGAGGTCTCTCCAAGTTGCTGGTCTTGAACTCCTGGACTCAGTCTCCTAAAGTGCTGGGATTACAGGCTTGAACCACCGTGCTCAGCCCCTTTTTTGTTTAATAGAGTATTCCTCATTTTGAGTTTACCTGGTGTTTCCTCCTGATTACTTTGAGGTTTCGGGTCCTTGGTTGTATCCCCAGGGATACCCCTTCTCTAGGCATACGTGGAGTCTGTCTGCTCTTCATTGGAAGTATTAATTTTTTTTTTGTATATAGACAGGGTCTTACTGTGTCACCCAGGCTGGAGTAGTAGTGGTATGATCATAGCTAACTGCAGCTTCAAACTCTTGGGCTTAGTGCTTCTCCCACCTTAGCCTCTCAAGTAAC